TCTCTGCTCTAATCTTAATTATTTCTCTTCTAATGCATGGCTTAGGCATTGTTTCTTGCTTTTTGTCTAGTTCTTTAAGGTGTAGAGTCAGCTGGTGAATCCGGGATTTTTCTATTTTTTTTTCAGTGAGGCTTGGATGGCTATGTATTTCCCCCTTAGGACTGCCTTTGCAGTATCCCATAGGTTTTGGACTGATGTGTTTTCATTCTCATTGGTTTCCATGAATTGTTTAAGTTCTTCTTTGATTTCCTGGTTGACCCAAACATTCTTGAGCAGAGTGGTCTTTAGCTTCCAAGTGTTTGAATTTCTGCCAATGTTTTCCTTGTGATTGAGTTCCAGTTTTAAAGCATTATGGTCTGAGAATATACAGGGAATAATCTCAGTCTTTAGGTATCGGCTGAGATCTGATTTGTGACCCAGTATGAGGTCTATTCTGGAGAATGTTCCACGTGTGCTCATGAAGAATGAGTATTCTGTTGTTTTAGGGTGGAATATTCTGTACATATCTATGAGGTCCATCTGTTCCAGTGTGTCATTCAAAGCTCTTGGTTTTTTGTTGATTTTTTGCTTAGATGATCTGTCTATTGCTGAGAAAGGAGTATTGAGGTCTCCTACAATTACCGTATTATTATCAATAGGACTCTTTATTTTGGTTAACACTTGGTTTGTCTAGATGGTGCTCCCACGTTGGGACATATATATTTACAATGGTTAGATCTTCTTGTTGGATAGGCCCTTTAAGAATGACATAGTGTTCTTCTGTGTCTCTATCTACAGTGTTTAGTTTAAAATCTAATTTGTCTGATATAAGAATTGCTACCCCCAGCTTTCTTTTGAGGTCCACTGGCATGGAAGATGGATCTCCATCCCTTCACTTTCAGCCTGGATGTATCTTTAGTTTCAAAATGACTTTCTTGTAGACAGTATATGGATAGGTCCTTTTTATCCAATCTGCAACACTACGCCTTTTTATGGGAGTATTTAGGCCATTCACGTTGAGAGTGATTATTGAAAGATATGAATTAATTGTCATCATGTTGCCTGTGAAGACCTTGTTTTTATAGATTGTCCCTGTAAATTTCTGTTGTATATCACTCTTGGGGTCTTTCTCCTTTTATAGAACGCCCGTTAATATTTCTTGCAGTGCCGGCTTAGTGGTCACATATTCTCTCAGTTTCTGCTGGTTTGGGAAGCTCTGCATCTCTCCATCCATTCTAAATGAAAGCCTTGCCAGACAAAGTATCCTTGGCTGCCTGTTCTTCTTGCTTAGTACCCTGAATATGTCTTGCCAGCCCTTTCTGGCTTGCCAGGTCTCTGTGGACAGGTCTGACATTATTCTGATGTTCCTCCCTCTGTACGTAAAGAATCTCTTCCCCTTAACTGCCCTTAAAATGGTTTCCTTGGTTCTAAGATTTGCGAATTTTACTATTACATGCCGGAGTGTTGTCCTGTTTTCTTTGTCTTGGAAGGGGGCCTCTCTGCCTCTAGGACATGAATGTTAGTTTCATTCCCCAGATTAGGGAAATTCTCAGCTATGATTTGCTGAAATATATCTTCTAGTCCTCTCTCTCTCTCCACCCCCTCAGGGATTCCAATGATTCTGACATTGGAATGTTTCATGGTGTCACTTATTTCTCTGATTCTATTTTCATGGATTCTGAGTTGTTTTTCCCTGGTCTCCTCTTTTCCCGTTTTATCTATTAAATTGTCTTCCAGGTCACCCATTCGTTCTTCTGCCTTGTTTACCCTAGCTGTTAGATTATCTAGATCAGATTGGATCTCACTGATAGCATTTTTTTCTTTTTTTTTATTTAAATTTTTTATTGTTATGTTAATCACCATATATTACATCATTAGTTTTTGGTGCAGTGTTCCATGATTCATTGTTTGTTCATAACACCCAGGGCTCCATGCAGAACGTGCCCTCCTCAATACCCATCACCAGGATAACCCATCCCCCTCCCCACCTCCGCTCTAGAACCCTCAGTTTGTTTTTCAGAGTCCATCATCTCTCATGGTTCGTCTCCCCCTCTGACATACTCCCCTTTTCTTCCTCTCCTGTTATCTTCTTCTTTTTCTTTTTACTTAAAATATGTTGCGTTATTTGTTTCAGAAGTACAGATCTGTGATTCAACAGTCTTGCACAATTCACAGCGCTCACCGTAGCACATACCCTCCCCAATGTCTATCACCCAGCCACCCCATCCCTTCCACCCCCCCACCACTCCAGCAACCCTCAGTTTGTTTCCTGAGATTAAGAATTCCTCATATCACTGAGGTCATGTGATACATGTCTTTCTCTGATTGACTTATTTCACTCAGCATAACACCCTCCAGTTCCATCCACGTCGTTGCAAATGGCAAGATCTCATTCCTTTTGATGGCTGCATAATATTCCATTGTGTATATATACCAGGTCTTCTTTATCCATTCATCTGTCGATGGGCATCTTGGCTCTTTCCACAGTTTGGCTATTGTGGACATTGCTGCTATAAACATTGGGGTACACGTACCCCTTCGGGTCCCTACATTTGTATCTTTGGGGTAAATACCCAGTAGTGCAATTGCTGGATCGAACGGTAGCTCTAATTTCAACTGTTTGAGGAACCTCCATACTGTTTTCCAGAGGGGTTGCACCAGCTTGCATTCCCACCAACAGTGTAGGAGGGTTCCCCTTTCTCCACATCCCCGCCAACATCTGTTGTTCCCTGACTTGTTAATTTTAGCCATTCTGACGGGTGTGAGGTGGTATCTCATGGAGGTTTTGATTTGGATTTCCCTGATGCCGAGCGATGTTGAGCACTTTTTCATGTGCCTGTTGGCCATTTGGATGTCTTCTTTGGAGAAATGTCTGTTCATGTCTTCTGCCCATTTCTTGATTGGATTATTTGTTCTTTGGGTGTTGAGTTTGATAAGTTCTTTATAGATTTTGGATACTAGCCCTTTATCTGATATGTCATTTGCAAATATTTTCTCCCATTCTGTCGGTTGTCTTTTGGTTTTGTGGACTGTTTCTTTTGCTGTGCAAAAGCTTTTTATCTTGATGAAATCCCAATAGTTCATTTTTGCCCGGGCTTCCTCACTGATAGCATTTTTAAGTTCTGCCAATTCAGCTTTCATTTCTCCCCTTAGAGACTCTATGTTGCCATTAATTGATTTCTCCATTCTAGCTTTTGTCTTCACAATTGCTAGCCTGAATTCCATCTCCGACATCTTGGTTATATCTGCCTCCATTTGTAAATCTGTGGCATAAGTCATAATCTCTGAGTCTTTTCTATTTTGGGGGTTCCTCCTCCTAGTCATTCTGTTGAGGGGTGGTTGAGGGAATGTATAGAGTCCAAATTATTGACCAGAACCCAAGCAAGATCCACCTGTTTTCTAGGGACCTTAAGGTTGCTGGCCTCTTGTTTTCCCAGCCTGTCTTCTGGGGGAGGGGCCTGCTGCACTGTTACTCAGGCAATCTTGTTTGGGCAGAGATGCCCTGCCCCCTGTGGCAGGGGATGGGCTCAGTGGGAACCAGTTTTTTGTGGCTTTTGTTCTCTGGTGGTTTTCTGTGTCTCTTCTGAGAGTCAGAGCAGAAGTGACCGTTTCCCACCCTCTGCCTCAGAGCAGAGAGAGATCACATTCCGTTCTTCAGTGAGCTCTCCAGGCCACACTATCTCCTTTTCTGTCTGTGCTGCTATATACTGCAGCATCCTGGGTTGTGCACCCCTCAGCAGAGCTCCCATTCCTCGCCTCCAGGTCAGGCATGTCTCTGCCCTTTGTGCTTCTAAAACCGCCAGCCGCCTCCAGGTCACGTGCACAGCCTAGCCGCTCTGGTTTCATTCTGGGGTCTGCCCTAAAGTCCTTTCCCAGTCGCTACTGGTCTGCAAGTCTGTGCCCAGTCCCCAGCGCGGGAGGCTATCTCTCACTGGCGGTGTAGGATCGCGACGGCTCGGCTCCCTCCCCCTTCCATTTATCTTTGGTTTTGTGCCACCGGCATCACAGCTCCCAGCTTCATACCTCGAAACCAACTGCCTGTGATATTCTCTTTGTAAAGATCCAGGTATAGCTTCTTACATCTCAGGCTGATTTCGTGGGTGTCCAGAGTGATCTGGTAGATATCCAGCTCAATTCTGGAGACCAGTTGGAATAGGGTCCCCTACTCCTCTGTCATCTTTTCCTCCTGCCTCATTTTGTCTTTAAAGTTATTTGCTTTTTAGTGATGTATTGTATGGTGACTAACATAACATAATAAAATTAAAAAAAAGTTGTTTGCTTTTAATGGGTACAAAGACATTTTTCTTTTTTTGAAATAGGAGTTCTTAAAGAAAATTCAGGCCAGATGAGTCTCCTTTCTCTCAGAGGTTCTAATCCAGCTATCAAGCAGCTCCTGGGAGGTAGCAGAGAGCGGGCACTCTATAATCCGATGCAGTTAGGTTTGAATCCCAATCTGCCACTTCCTGCTGTGTGTCCTTGAGTAATTATGTAATTTCTCTGTCCGGAAAATAGAAACCCACTGGCTATTTTGCCAGAGAGAATTTAAGACTGGGAATTGGAGGACTGTAAAAGCCAGAAGGCAACGCAGAGTCGGAGTCTACTTTTTGAAACAACACCCTCACTTACCTACTCCCCTCCCCCCAACACTTCTATCTGAAGTGGAGGTCTGCCTCTCTCCAGGCTCACATTCATGCAGTGGGGCCTCTGCAGCCATCTGCTTCATCCTTCCCACTTATATGCAGTCTGGTTTCTGAGGCCCCAGAGGGGCCCCAAGTCACTCTGGGTACCAGCTGGGTCTTAAGGGCTGGGGGAGAGCGGTCTTCTGGGAAAGCCAGGCCATGAAAAAGGAAGCTAGATCTACAGAGGTGGTGGTGGTGGGAGAGTATGGGGGATTTTCCCCAAGGGCGTCTTTGGCCTCCTGCCCCTGCCTCTGTTCTATGATTAACCAAGAACTTCCTGACTGTGCCCCTCCTTCTGTTACTTCAAGGCCCTGAGTCAGTATTTTAACTTTCCGCCAGGGCACTGAGTGCCCTTCAGTGCTCTACTGCTCAGCTCTTCACTTCTCCTTCAATGCGTGCTCAGTGATGGCTTTTGGAATTATGCTCCTCCTGGGTGGTGAGTGGAGGCCCTCAGGGCTGGGAGAAGCTTGGAGGGGGTGCATCTCCATCTGGTAGGGCAGATTGGGGATGGTGGTTAGCTCATATAGCTCTCTGGAGAAGCTGAGATCAGGGGAGGGCCCTTGTGTTTAGAGTCTTGTGTGGAAGGAGAAATGGCCTGGAATCAGGGGAGGGTCATAACCTGAGCAAAGATGAGAGAAGATGGACTTGTAGGTTATGCTTGGGTGGGGGATGAGCTCCCTCTCCATGATTCTTCCTGTGGGGGTCCTGGTGTGTGTGTGGTACAGGGGACAGGAGTCTGCCCCAGGACCCCAGGGGGAAAGCCATCGGAATCACTAGGGAGGGGAAGTGTTGGATATCACTTCCTTGGTCCCGCATGTCTCTCAAGTCTTGATTTCAGGTATGCTGCCCCACTGCTGCCAAGAGAATAGTCCAGAAATTGAAAACTGTATCAGGACCACATTCGTGTGTCATTTGAAATCACTTATATATGTGTCAGTTAAAAATCAGATTCCACACAGAAGCCTAGACTGTCAGCTTCTCCTGAGAAATGGGAAGGTCCGGAGCTCTGAACACTAGAGCTTGGTAATGGCTACTTCCTTTAAAAGGGCCACAAACTCTAAGTGCCCGTAATTCCCTGGTACTCACACTTACCCACTTCAGTCACTGATGTCACCTGCCTGGCCTCTGAGGCATTTGAGTCTGAGACACTCCTACTTGTCAGGTCATAGAGCCTGTTCTCAGACTCAGAAACAGAATCATTCTTTGAAAGCAAGATGTAGTATGTGACACTCCCTTGCCTGTGGCCATTGTAGGGTTGTAGCACCTTCAACATCTGGCTTTTTCCTTAGAACCCTAGGGTTCAGGTGTCTGGACCCTGCCTGTCACCTCCTGGCCTGATGCTTTACCTCCTTAGAATTTCCTTACTTTGGGGGTTGGAGTTGACTCCTCAATCCAGAGACTGGGAATTCTAGTAGAAATGGGGAGGAAAGATGCTGTTTGGGAGTGAGGGTGTTGGAAAAAGCCCTTGAAATGTAGGTGGTCTTTCCCTGAGGTTTTTGAGCTTAGTCACCAGAGAGGAGAATGTCAAGGGTCAGGAGAGTGGGTTGGAACCCTGGCTATACCACTGACTTGCTATGCAGTTCTGGCCCAGTCAACAAATAGTAATTAGTCATCTGCTAAGGGCCAGGCAGTGTACCAGGCACCACGCAAGACAGTTGCAGTCCTTGCCATCTTAGAGTCTAGCACCAATGGAGGGGGACATGGGAAACACAAAATTACAAATAATCATAAAATTCTCAGTCTGTTCCCTAATCTGAACCTTAGGGTCTTTGTATAATGAGAAGATGGAGCAGGAGTCTTTAGGAAGGGTGACCATATGCCCTGACCTGCCTGGGCCAGTCCCAGTGACCCTGGTGTAATTATTAATGGTGCCCCTTTCACTCACAGAAGGGCTCAGTTTAGAAAATAAATTGTGTGGTCACTTTATCTTTAGTGGACACGCCTGATCTAACAGACCAGGAGGTGACAGGCCTAATTTCAGATTGTGGATATCCTTTGAAATGACCTTGAGGGGACATTTTTCTGGTTCTGGATTGTCGCTCTTTGTATTGTGGTTTGATTATTTCTGATGGAGGGAGAGAGACAGGAATCACACAGATGGCAAATCAGGAAACAAAGAAAAAGAGAATACCCTTCTTTGGGGCACATGAGCTGGATTGGGGTGGGCATCAAGATCCCAAGAAGTCAGGGGTCCAGAGGTGATACGCTTTTCTGACTGTTTCTCCTACCCCCGCCTCTCTCTCCATATTCCTCAGTCCTGGCTTCTTATCATGGATTCAACTTGGATGTGGAGGAGCCCATGATCTTTCAAGAAGATGGAGCTAGCTTTGGACAGAGCGTGGCCCAGTTTGGCAGCTCTAGGTAGGCCATGCCTCCCCCATATCCCTTCAACCTGCGGGTAAATGGCTGAATATGGCATGCTCAGGAGGTGTCCTGAGGGAAGGGCAACATGGGCAAGAAGCCTGTCCATCACTCCTCCAAGGCCCCTGGCACCCCTACTACTAACTATTCACAATCCCAGGAAGGACCACAAACTCTGGACAAGACAGTGCTTCGGGAGGGAGGTCTTGAATCTGTTCCTCTGTGACCAGTACATGTGACCAGTATAGTCACCCTTGCACTTGGAGTAATGTTTTGCAGTCTTCCTCTTGAAATTATTAATAATTTAATCTTAGCATGTGTGTTTTGTAAGTAAAATTGATGGGACAGTGGAGATGTGCTGGGGGCTTGGAGCCTTGGCTCACATGCAGCCCAGCCTTCTGGGGAATGTTTCTCAGCTGCTTCCCTCAGCCCCTGGCATGAGCTGAGCAAGGTCAGGTTTGGCTGGGGCACACAGTTCGCCCAGTCTTATGAGGGTTTGCACCGGTCTGGTGAGTGTCCCTGTGCCTGAGGGAATGCAGCACTAAAGAGCAAACAGGGAAATACCAGGACAGGTAGAGAGGAAGACTGCCAAAGGAAAAAAAAAAAAAAAAAGGAAAACACCTTTTTTTCCGTGAACAAGAATCCCCACATTTTTATTTCACTCTGGGACTGGCAAATTATGTACCTCGCCTTGCCTCCAGAAGCTCACATTCTCAGGTCCCAGGGCCAGGGACCCAAAATGTTGAAGTTACCATGTGATGCAAGCATAACCAAAGTCTGGGAGGCATAGGAAGTGAGAGATCAACCCCGGAGGGAATTCCAGGAAGCCTTCACAGAGGGGGTGGCATTGGCAATGAGCCTGAGAATACAGGAAGATTCAGCTGGCCAAGAAGTAACATCTTGAGGTCACTGAGTTCTATATACACATCCATCTCCCCTCCTCACCCAGCTGGCAGGGACATGGAAGCAAGTGCCAGGTGCCAGAGTTTTGTTTTTTCTTTCTGTGTTTGTTTTGAAATACAGAGCTTGTAAACTGAAGTGCACAAACTTGAAAGGTCCGACTCAATGAATTTTTCATATGTGTATAGCCAGGTAACTGCTGCCTAGATCAAGGTGTAGAACATCTTCAGCCCCCCTCCCCTGGGTTCCCTTGGGCTCTTCCCAATGATGCAAAACCCAACAAATCCAAAGGTAGTCACTGCTTCACTTTTATCACCACTAGTTTGTGCTCAGGCCGTATTTAGAAGATACATATATGTATAGCTATTGATTAACCATTGTTCACCAGTATTTCCAATAAAGTAAATAATATATACTGGATGACATTCTGATTGCTACAAAGTTATTGTTGTTCCTGGTTTCTGCTGAGTCATAACCTAAATACCCAAAAGACTAAGCCTATGTGTAAGGGATGGATGGGGTAAAGAAAAGCATGTAGATCAATGGTTTAAGATATTTTCACCCTTTTAGGTCAGCGGGTACCAGACTTCTATGTCTCTACCACCTATTTAGGTTTCCATCAGCAATTCTCAGACACACAGGGATTTCAGCTTTCCATAAAGGGATAGCTTTCTAGAAAGAATCTTTAAATTCTAATTTAACAAGTCTTGCTTGGCTAATTAATTAAAAGACACAAACATTTAGTTACCTGAGTGGAGAAGTTGTTGGTAGATATTATTTTTTATTCAAAATTTAAAAATTCTCTCCTTTCAAGGAGTTTTGCAAAAATTGTTGCACTTATGTGACTATAGATTTTCGTATGGATTCTGATAGTGCTGCTTTAAATTGTCCAACTTAAATTATGTATATTTAAATTGTCCAATTAATTACAGAATCATCTATTTGTCTTGATAATTTGTGGCTTTAGCAGATTTTTCCATTTAACTCGAGGTGATCTATTTCTTGGGTGGCTTGGAATGATGGCACCCCAAAAACAAAATGACTTGCCCATGGTTGGGAAATGCTGTTTTGCTTTGAAAAGTTTTATTTTTGGTGAATGCTAAAACAACAACAACACTCAAACCATTTTGTATATAAATACACATTTATTTATGTATACATACACACAAACAAAGAAAAAATCCAGCATGGTCCTTCGGCACATGTGGGTTAAACTCAGGCCCTGTTATTTGAAGCCTCATGAATGGCGAATGCCAAGAGCTTCCCTCTCAAAGTCTCACTTCCCTGCTACACAGTGACACTTCCCCACCCGAAGCGCCCTCTGCCCTTACCCCTCCTGCAATTATATGTCATGCTTGTGCCTTCAGAGTTGTGGTGGGAGCCCCTCTGGAGGTGGTGGCGGTCAACCGAACAGGACAGATGTACGACTGTGTGGCTGCCACTGGCTTATGTCAACCCATACCACTGCACAGTGAGTGACTGCACCCAGGAATTGTGGCCCTCAATCCTCATCTGCTGCAGTGCCCCTTCCTTGGCCTCTAGCCTGACTCTCCCCGCAAATGGGAGTGTGGCCATGAATGTAATCATGTGTATCTGCCCTCTCAGCACCCCCAGAGGCCGTGAACATGTCCCTGGGCCTGTCCCTGGCGGCCTCCACCAATCACTCCTGGCTGCTGGTAAGTTTCTCTGGGTCATAGGAGGGTGACAAGGGGAGGAGCAGGGGCCAGGGGAGGCTGGGGCTGGAGGAGAAGAGTATGGAGAATTTGGGGTGACCCCTTGCTCACACAGGCCTCTGCCCTTAGGCCTGTGGCCCCACCATGCACCGAGCCTGTGGGGAGAATATGTATGCAGAAGGCTTCTGCCTCCTGTTGGGCTCCCACCTGCAGACCATTTGGACCATGCCTGCTGCCCTGCCAGGTAGGTCCCTATAGAGACAGCAATTCTATGTGAGTACATGCTGGCACTGAAGAGTGGGCAGAGCATGAGACCGTCGTCTTGGCTTCCTGTGCCCATGGCCCTTTCCCAAAGGCCTCAGCAAGCCCAAGAAGGTCTGGGAGCATGGTCTGGCCTGGCACGGAGGGCAGCTCACAGCAGGAACTCTAAGCTGGTCAAGAGGAGAAAGTTCTGATGGAGCAGAAGGGAGCCTCAGAGCACTGGCTGCAGGAGGCATGAGGGTCTCACAGTTGTCGACAGGTGCAGGGAGGCTCTTTGGACTTTCAGAGGAAAGGCCTTGGGTGGTGAAAATGTGGTGAGGATGATAGTTCCAAGGATCCAAGAGGGAGGCTGTTCTGGATCATTCACTGCTGAACTTCTAAGGGGAGAAAATGGTAGGGCCATGGAAAATGTGATGCACAATTTTGCCAGCACGGATGCCTTCTACAGAGAATGGTGCCAGAGACACTGAGCAGCATCTCTCGGAGGGCCAGTCTGAATAAGTTTGTCTTCTGTGTCCTTGGGGCAATTGGCTTCACTCCCTGTGCTTAATTTCCTCATTGGTAAACTGGGTCTTAATAATCAAGGTGGTTACGAGGATTAAAAGATTTAATATATAAAAAGTGTTTAGACCTCTGCCTGACACATAATATGTGAGTACCATTATGACTGATCTTCTAGCTAGGACCATGTGTTTGGACTAGGAGAAGGTGATAATGGGCTCCAAGTCAGAGGGGCCACTCAAGGTGCTGACTGAGAGCACTGCTTTGGACTAGAGATGCCATGATGCCAGGCATGGTGGGCTTTTAGGCAAAGGTGAAGTTGCAGCAGAAACACCTCCTACCCTAATTGTGAGAACAGTCTACAGAGGGGACAGAGAGAGTGGAGGGTGGGAGGCCAGGAGTCTTGGGGGTACCATGACCTGCCTAGGATATCTGTGCAGCCAGGGTAGGGGATGTGGCATTTAAGTACTAGGAGGTTAAGTCTCTTCCCCTAGATGTCCCCGTGACTCATCAGGTGGGATGCCTGATGAAAATGGAACACAGACACGTAAGCCTGGTGTAAGCAAAGCAAATTTGAATAGAGGTAGAAGTGACTGGGTGCCAGTCAATGCCTGATGCCTGGTGTGCATCTTTATTGCACCCTCACAAGTTTTGGGGTGGTAGGTAGGATGATCCCATCTTACAAGCAAGAAAACTGAGGCTCAGAGAGCTGAGTTCCTGCTGTCAGGAAGTGACAGAGCCGAGACCTGGAGCCAACCTTGCCTGACTGATTTGGTCTTTTTTTTTTTTTTTTTTTTTCAGAAGGTGCCAGCTATAGCCTGGTGCCTGCTATTGGAAGCCCAGTGGAGACAGTAAAAGGAATAAGAAACAGAAGTGATATTGTGAGGGAACTTGCCACCATTGTGGCCTGAGAGAGGATATGAGGGGTGGTTTTTTGGTGCAGCTAACAAAGTAAGCACAAGTGCAAGATGTGGGGATGGGGACCTTCAGCTACCCAGCTGTGGGGGATATCGGGTGAGGAGGGGAGCAGTGAGGTCTTCTTAGCCTGCCACGTGGGGGGCTGAACTTCCTGGTCAAGAAAGCAGGGAGGGAAGTGGCCTTCCATTTCTTCTCAGCAGGGGTGAAGCACCAGCTCGTTGCATAGGTGGGATGAGGGAGGTGTGGGGAGCGAGGAGAAAGTATTTTTGCTTCAGTGGCAGGAGGCCAGCTGCTGTGTTCAGCATCATGCCTCATTACTGTCTGTGGAGGCTGACCTCCCACCACCATGGGAGGAACACAGGATGTGAGGCACTGGTGGAGGAACCAACTGTGTCCATCACACAGGCCACAAGCACTTATGTGAGTTTGGTGTCAGTGTGAAGTGTCTTATTTGTTTATGGGTGAAAGGTGTGACTTTCCATTATGGCGGACTCCATGAGGGCAGGGGTGGTATCTTTTTTTCAAGCTATGGTCTTAGACCAGGTTTCCTGAGAAATAGACTCTGAGGCTCATTTGGGAGTACTCTTGGGAGCACTAGTTCCGAGAGCATGAAGGAAGCAGGACTGAGCAGAGGAAGAAGGTGGACTGTGATGGATCAGAACAGACCCTCAGCTAAACCAGAGGAGCTGGGAACCTGGCTGATGCAGGTCGCCCCCAGGAGCAGGCGTTGTAATCTTGGGCAAGGCATCTCCTGAGTTATCAACTGGGAGTCATCGACAGCTACCCCCTGTAGCTGATAATAAGGACCTCTCTCCTGAGAGAGGGCGTGGGTCTTCTTGGTGGCAACCTTAGCATCTGCTGCTGGTGTATTCTTGTGCCTGGAAAAATGCCTGGCACATGGTGATGATGTGCTAACACATCAGCTAACCTGGTGCTGATCACAACACGTGCACTCCTTAATCCCTATCACCTATTTAACCCATCCCCCCACCCACCTCCCCTCTGGTAACCATCAGTTTGTTCTCTTTGGTTAAGAGTATGTTCTCTTCTTTGTCTCTCTCATTCTGTCTCTCTGTCTCTCTTTCTTTTTTGCTCATTTGTTTTGTTTCTTAAAGTTTGGGCAATGGATTTGGGCTTCCTCCCAGGAAGGTGTAGAAACTGGGTGGGAATTGATTCCTAGGCCAAGAATGGCCCCTTAACTCTGTTAAGCAGGAAAGATTTCTGGGCCCTGGGAGACAGCTGGGACCCACACAGGCATCTCTGATTCCTTCTTCCTTCTCTACAGAGTGTCCAAGTCAAGAGATGGACATTGTCTTCCTGATTGATGGTTCTGGCAGCATTGTCCAAAGTGACTTTAAGCAGATGAAAGACTTTGTCAGAGCTGTGATGGGACAATTTGAAGGCACCAACACCCTGGTGAAGACTGGGTCCCCGAGGCCTGGGGAGTGGGGTGGGGGTGGCAGTTGCCTTGGGGAAGACCAACCTAGGAGGAAGCCTGGTGTTGCTGGGGGTTGGCTCAGTGGACCTGTGCCTGACACTAGTGTCCTTGTGCATGGCTGATTTGAACCCTGACCTGAGGAAATTCACCCATGGCATTTAATATGTCCCCACATGGCCTAGGAAATAGTTTTGTACTGTTTAGAAGCACTGAAAGGATTGCAAAAATAGTTTTGCTGTGAAATTAGACTGAAGGTAACTTGGCCAAATAATTAATGATTTCATTACATAGTTTTCCATGTAACTCATGATTTATCTTATTATTTTATTTTCCAGTATAGTGTATATGTATATGGAAATTCTTGAGAAGTGAGGAAATATAGTCTACAAGTTGATTTCACATAATGAAATTTTTTAAAAATCCAAGTTTAAGAAATGTTGAGGTAAGAAAGGTTACCCCTTGCAAACTCTGAAAGAAGCATCATTTGTTTCTGATTTTCTAGTTTTCTTTTTGGGCCATGTTTCCCCTGGGTTTTAGCCTCAAAAACACATGGAAAGTGGTTTGTAAATCCAAAGTTATTCCAAAATGAAAAGTTATTGAAGAAAAACTCCTGAGCCCCAGGGCCATCCTCTTCTCCTTTGCAGTTCTCCCTGATACAGTACTCCAACCACCTGAAGATCCACTTCACCTTCACCCAATTCCAGAGCAGCTCGAGCCCTCAGAGCCTGGTGGATCCCATCGTCCAACTGGATGGTCTGACGTTTACAGCCACGGGCATCCTGAAAGTGGTGTAAGTTTCCCCTTCTGCCTCATGTGGATAAGCTGCCGCACTACTTCCTCACGCTGGTCTGCACAGCCCTTTTGCAGGGCTGTGGGAAATCTGGGGAAAGGGGCTCAAAAGGGAAATGAGAGGGCTGTAGGTGGAGACTTCCCTGGAATGTTCTCTTGTTGTAGAACAGCACTCCTCTGCAGTGTTTCCTCTTTGCCTGGCTTTAGATTGGCTGGACCCTGATGCCAACTGGGGAAACCAGAGACATGGGCTTTGGTTCAGATATACCCAAGTTCTCATTCTGGCTCCCTGCTCGTGACCTGGGTCACCCTGGGACTTACTGACTCTTTCTAAGTCTCCGCAAACTGTCAAATGAGGATAAACTTACAACTTGGTTTTAGAATTCAAGGTGATAACATGCATGCAATGCTTCTGCATCAGAAGTGCTAGATAAGTGGTTGGTGTTTTATCCAGAGAATGGTGCACCCACGTTTTACCTCCCTGGCAGAGACTTGGGAATTGTTGCCAAGTGTTTTCTTTGTGCCTCTCTCCTCACTCATTTCCCTCTCTTCCCACATTCCTTATCCATATGAACTGTGTATTAACTGGGTGCTTACCATGTACGTGCCTGACCAGCTAGGACGACCATAAAGAAATGCCTTAGGTGTTGGGGCCAGAACAGAAGGTGTGGTTCTTATGGGAAAAAAGTAGGCTGGATGTCTGGGATTTTCAACTTCCTGTGCACCCCTGGGTGCCACTCTGGGGGTGGTGCTGGAGAAATGCTGAACAAAGGATGCTCCTGCCAAATGTACCCTCTTTACTGCTGGGTGGCTTTTCTGCCTTGAACACTGGCTGCATGGGACTGGACAACCAAGAGGAATGCCTCTGTCTCTTGAATTGAAAGTCACACCGGAGTGCCATCCCTTCTAGCCCTTGGAACCCCTCCCAGTGGTGGGTGACGGTGTGGTTCTCCTCAGCACCCATTCTGCTCCCCTCACCCAGAACAGCAGCTTCCCCTCTCCCCAGAACCAAAGCTATCTCAGGCCTTCTCTGCCACTGTTTTTATTTTTTTCTTTTTAGAAGTTTCATTACAAAACAGATAAAAATTTGCAATAACATTAAGGAAATTTTTGGAAAAAGTATTACAGTCCCACTACCAACCACCTCACAGTATTTTAGCAAAAAGAAAGGATACAAAGAAATGAATAAACAAATCCCACCCACAAAGCACAGGGCCATTTCCATCCTTGTTTTTATTCAGACATATTTCATATAGTCATAATGTGGGCAGAAACAAGTTTCATCCCGCCTTTTTTTTTTTCATCTGTTACATGAACCTGTGCCATGTTTCTCTACAGCTTTTACTGTTTTCCTTTGAAATGACTCTGTGCTTTCTTACAAAGCAGGTGGATCATGATTTGCTAAACCCCTTCCCTGATCTTGGACATTTAGCTTGTTTCCAGTATTTTATGTTGAGTGTGTGTGTGTGTGTGTGTGTGTGTGTGTGTGTGTGTGTGTGTGTGTTTATTCTGCATTTATAGAACTATATGAGCATATAGCTACATTTTTAATCATTTGTAATAGCTACCACAGAATTAATGCTTACCTATGGCCATTCACTGTTTTAAAAGCTTTCCCTCATTTGATCCTCAAAATAACCTCATATGATTTATCTCATTTATCTATTGTTGCCTAACAAACCACTCCCAAATTTAGCGGCTTAAGCAACAACTCTTTTATTAATATTTTTCATGATTTAGGACTCATCTGTTTTCAGAAGCTAGAACATGAGAGATTCATTCACATGGTCCTGCCTGGGCAGGACTCGCTGGAAAGCTGGGCTCAGCTGGGATGGAGGAGCCTTTCTCTCCATAGCTATAGAAGCTATAGAAGCTATCGAAGTCTTGAGCTATCGACTTCCCTCATGGTGGCTCAGGGCTTCCCAAAATGAAAGAGCTAACAAGGCTTCTTCGGCCCATAATTGGCATGGTGTCACTTCCATTTCACGCTACTGCTGAAACTGGGCACAGGTCAGATTCAATATGGGAAGGGAACCAGGTGTGGCACACTGGGGGTCATCTTTGAAGAAGAGCTATGGTACAATTATTATTCTCACCTTCACAGAGAGAAGCAGAGGCTCAAAGAGGTAAAGCAACTGTCCAGGTCTCTCAGAATGTAAAGTTCCTACTCTGAACCATACTGCCTCCTGGAAATGAGGTTCCATGGTAGATGGAATTATAGAAAAGGGAATATGAGTACCTTTATCATTGATCTTACTAATCATTGCATGACTTTCAAAAAAGCCTGAGGCGATTTTTTTAAACACGCCTGACACAGTCTGATGGTACCAGGACTCCCCGGTCTCTCCATACGAGCTTCTAGTGCTACAGATTATTTCTTTCCAGAATCAATTTCATCTACAGAGAGTCATCTCCCTTTCTTCCTTGACAGGAAAGAACTATTTCATAGTAAGAATGGGGCCCGTAAAAGTGCCAAGAAGATCCTCATTGTCATCACAGATGGGCAGAAATACAGGGACCCCCTGGAGTACAGTGACGTCATCCCTCAGGCAGAGAGAGCTGGCATCATTCGCTATGCCATTGGGGTATGTCCTTTTCCTCATGTCACCCTCACACTCAGGCTCAACCTCACCCAGGCAGAAAGGCTGGTGGGCTCCTCCTCAGCTCTCTCTCTGCCACAGGTGGGAAAAGCTTTCCAGGAACCCACTGCCAGGCAGGAGCTGAACACCATTGGCTCAGTGCCCTCTCAGGACCACGTGTTCAGGGTGGACAACTTTGCAGCACTCAGCACCATCCAGGAGCAGCTGCAAGAGAAGATCTTTGCAGTTGAGGGTAAATGCAGGGCAAGCTTGGGTCTTGGAATAGAAAGGTTCGAGACCCAGTTGTCCCCTTGAAGTTCTGGGGGGCCATCCCCATTCACAGCTCACCCAAAATTGTGCCCCAGAACCTGAGCTTTGGATTCCTTCTTCTCCTTCTGCTCTGAGACCTTGTGGTCTCATGGCCCCCAGACCCTAAATAGCCTAAACCTATTTCCCCACAGGAACCCAGTCGAGGACAAGTAGCTCCTTCCAACATGAGATGTCGCAAGAAGGCTTCAGTTCAGTACTCACACCGGTGGGTGGAACACGTACTTGATAAACAGGTCTCAGGCACCAATCCTGGGCCAACCGTGCTGGGAGTTGGAACCCAGAAGTAAATAGGAAAGCAGATTCTGTCTTCTATGTCACTGTCTGTTTGGAGAGAGACATATAGGCAGTGCATGTAGGTGGTAGGAGCATAGCAGAGAACAGGATAGCCATGACTCCTGCTCTCACAGGGCACATATCCAGTGGGAGGAGACAACAAACAACAAAAAAATATCTTCAGATTGTGCTAGGCATTAGGATAGAGCAGGACAGGTGCTCAGAGGAGGCCTGAGGAGTGACAACTGAGGCTGAATGATGACAAAAGGCCAGCCCTGGAAAAATCTGGGAGAGATTGCTCCAGGTAGAGGAAAAAGCAAGTGCAAATGTCTTGAGGCATGAACACGGTCACTGCACTAGAGAGATAGAAGGGCCAGCATAGCTGGAGCAGAGTGAGAGAGGGGGGTGGAAAGATGGGAAAGACCAGATCATGCAGATGAAAGAAATAACAATGTAGTATGACTTGTGTGCAAGTAGATGTGTGCTGAAAGTACCCAGAAGGATTTGCTTCAGAATAATTTTGGGGGTAAGGAGGGGGGACATAGAAATGAAACAAGGTTGGTCATGAATTGATCATGGAAGCTGGCTCATGGGTACTTGGGGGTTCATTAAGCATTTCTTTCTACTTTTGTATATGTTCTAAATTATCCATAATCAAAAGTTTAAAAAGGCAATAAACAAAGTATGCAGAGTAGGAAATGCCTGTCACTCCCTGAGGGAGCCAACGAAGACCTCACAGAGGAGGTGAGTTTGAAGTTGACTCTTCCTGAGAGAGGAGTTGAGTCTTAGAAAGAGAGAAGAGAGAGGTGTCCAGGTCAAAAGCTTCATGTGTTTCAACATAGGGTAACTCTACAGGTTTGACTGCAGAGGACCCTAGATTCCATCCTCAGGGGCTTGGTGGCAGGGAGCCATGTTGGACTGCCAGCAGGGTGATGGCTCTATGTTTGTTGGTTCTGAGGAAACCTACTCTGGGGTACTGGAGGATGGAGCAGAAAGGAGCCAGCTAGGAGGCAGAGAGGGCAGTGGATGAGAACCGTTGGGACTTACTGGAACAGTGGCACTGGGGATGGTGGAGAGACATTAGGAGTGAGGGACACTGAAGTTGCTGAAGAGGACTGGGGAGGGAGAAAGAGAATGCCAAATAATGAGCAGAGTCAGTGGCAGGCATTGCTTTAGAATAGGCTGTCTTCTTTTGGCTCAGGCCTGCTCAGCCCTGGAATCCTTTCCTCCCAGGATGGACCAGTTCTGGGGGCTGTGGGGAGCTTCAGCTGGTCTGGAGGTGCCTTCCTGTACCCCCAAAATATGAGCCCCACGTTCATCAACATGTCTCAAGAGAATGTGGACATGAGGGACTCTTACCTGGGTGAGAAAAGGCTGCGGTTGGGGGCACAGGTGGGAGATGAGCTGCCTGGGAAGGGCAGGAGCTCAGGGTTGGGGAGGAAGCCTTTGTGCTGAGGCCTACCCTCCTCAGGTTACTCCACTGAGTTGGCTCTTTGGAAGGGGGTCCAGAGCCTGATCCTGGGGGCCCCCCGCCATCAACATACTGGGAAGGTTGTCATCTTCACCCAGGCGTCTGGGCAATGGAGGCCGAAGGCTGAAGTCGCAGGGACTCAGGTTGGGTGTTGAGGAAGCCAGAGTGGAACATGAGGGTGGCAGGGTCTCCGGGGCCAGAGGGGGAGGAGATGAAAGGGTTTGGGAGCCTATGGGGGGAAGGTCCTGGTGGCTGGGGAGAAGTGGGTCCTGTCCCAGAAGGGGGTGCCTCTGGCAGGGGCCCGCAGGATGACTTTAGGCTCTGCCCTGCAGATTGGCTCCTACTTTGGGGCCTCCCTCTGCACTGTGGATGTGGATGGAGATGGCAGCTCTGACCTTGTCCTCATAGGGGCTCCCCATTACTACAAGCCGACCCAGGGGGGCCAGGTGTCTGTGTGCCCCTTGCCCCAGGGGGTGAGTGTCTGATGAGAGCTGGGCTGGGTGAGGCCTGGGTATGGGGTGGAGGGGTTGCCTGGGTTGGGACCTGACACTGGTTTTGTTCCGCAGAGGGCTAAGTGGCAGTGTGAGGTCATTCTCTGTGGGGAGCAGGGCCATCCCTGGGGCCGCTTTGGGGCAGCCCTGACGGTGCTGGGGGATGTGAATGGGGACAAGCTGACAGACGTGGCCATCGGCGCCCCAGGAGAGCAGGAGAGCCGGGGTGCTGTCTTCTTATTTCATGGAACCTCAGGACAGGGCATCAACCCCTCCCACAGACAGGTGAGACCCCTGTCTGCAACCTCTCCCAGTTCCACCTCCTTTTCTATGTCCCAGATTTGCCTGATGCCCTGTCTTGTCACTGACCTTAACAGTAGCCATGCTTCTTTTAGGGGTTTAGTGCCCTGAATGTCACCAGGCCCAGCTAAGTGCAAAATATCTCTCTTTTCTCCTTTGGCTCCAAACAGACTTCAGTGTGTGCGCAGCTTAGTGGTTAAGAGATTGCAGGGCCTGGGTCAAATGCCTGTCCAGCCATGTCAGCTGTGTGGCCTTAGGCAAGTGACTGATTTAGCCTCTGGGAGCCTTAGTTTCCTTCTATGAAACACTGAATGAAGGAGCTCTACGTCTGGGGTCCCTGGGGTCTCACTATGCTTGCTTTCCATTCCTACCCTCTCATCTCTCCTTTTCAATTTTTCCATTCAGATCTGTTTTTGCTGCAGTTTCCTTTCCAAATCTTTCTTCTCAAACCTTTCAGATGCCCTCCCCTTGACTTCCACTTTTCCTTTTCCTCTCTGGCCAGCGGATCGCAGGCTCCCAGCTCTCTCCCACACTCCAATATTTTGGGCAGTCACTGAGTGGGGGTCAGGACCTCACCCAGGATGGACTGGTGGACCTGGCTGTGGGGGCCCGGGGACAGGTGCTGCTGCTCAGGTGACAACTCCTCACATCCCACCCTTGCCCACTGTGTGTCCATTCAACAAGCTTCCCCCTCCCTTGTCCTCCTCCCCTGGGCCAGAGTCAGGTCCTCAGCCCCCATGTGCACCCTCAGGAGTCGGCCAGTGCTGAACGTGGGGGTGGCCATGAGATTCATGCCCTTGGAGGTGGCAAAGGCTGTGTACCAGTGCTGGGGAGACGTGCCATCCACCCTGGAAGCTGGGAATGCCACAGTCTGTCTCTCTATCCACAAAAGCTCACTGGATCAACTAGGTGAGTTCTTCCCAGTGGACCCAGCGCCTTACCCACCTTGAGGCCCCCGACCCTACCCTCAGGAGGAAATGAGCCCAGGGATCCAGATACCACTTCCTCATCCACTCACCTGCCAGTGTTGGAAACCCCGGGTCCCTTCTCTTCCCCTCTCCCCACACCCAGGCCAGTAAGCCCTAAGTTCAGGATACAATCTGAAGTCTTCCCACTTCTCTCCACCCGCTCTAGCCACTGCCTACCTTGAAGCCACCACTTCTCTTTCCTACGTATACTTTGAGCTGTTTCCATGTCTGTTCTTGCAGCCTCCCACCCTTTCTCCATAGAGAAACTAGAGGGATTGGTCCTAAAACACAAATCTGGTCACCTCACTTGCCTGCTTGACCACCCCTCAACCTCTCCTTTCTTCCATTTATAAAGACCAAAATCCTTCTCTACAATGCCCTTGCTGACTTTGCTCCTCCCCGCCCTTCCAGCCTCACCTCATCGCACTCTCCCTTTCTGTAAATGTGCCACCCTTCCTCTCCCTTCTGGTCTTGGCCATTGTTCTCATGGTCTGGGACTTTCTCCTCCCCACTCTTCACCAACCTTTGCTCATCCTCCAGGTTGGGGCCCAGACAAGGCCCACCCAGGAAGGCATTTCTGAGCCCAGGTCTGAATTAGCAAGCCCTCCTTGGTACTACTGAGGATCCCACCATTGGGTTGATCGTGCTGGGGGATTATGGCCTGCATGCTCGTCTCTTTTCCTAGACGGAGAGCTACGTGATGGCAGAGACCATATTTCTCTATCTCCTTCTCCACACCTATCCTAGCCCCTGATACAGCTCATGGCCCATAGGAAGTGCTCAGCAAATGTTTTGTTGCATAAATAAACAAAAACAGAACATTTGAGGTTCTCTTGGACTTTGCATCTTCTGTTCCTCCCTTCTGCTTCAGGTGATGTCCAAAGCTCTGTCAGGTATGATCTGGCTTTAGACCCAGGCCGTCTGATTTCTCGTGCCATTTTTGATGAGACCAAGAACTGGACTTTGACTCGAAGGAAAACCCTGGGGATGGGAGATTACTGTGAAACCATTAAGCTGCTTTTACCAGTAAGTACTTTGGGTTCTGGGATGGGAGGGGGAGAAGGAGACCAAGGTGAGCCTCTGGCACCTCTGCTCCCTGTTGAGTGAGGGCAAGAGGGTGGGGATATTGGGGCTGGAGAGAGGAAAGTTGAGGCCAGGGAACCTGACTCCACAGATAGGACAGAATGCTGTCCCGACAGCGGGAATGGATGCAGTTGAGCAGGAGGGCCAGTGGTGGAAAGTAACGAGAAGGGTAGAGGGTTCTTGAAAGCCCATTCTCCCTCAGGACTGTGTGGAGGACGTGGTGAATCCCATCATCCTACGCCTCAACTTCTCCTTGGTGGGGGAGCCCATCCCCTCATCTCCGAACCTTCGCCCTGTGCTGGCTGTGGGCTCGCAGGACCTCTTCACTGCTTCTGTGAGTCTTCCAATGAAATCCCAGGGATGTACTGATTTTCACTGTGTCTCTGTGTCTTAAGAACCTATTGTGGTTCTCAACTTTCCATCAACCACGTTAAGTCCATAATGCCTCCACCCAGTTACCAAGGCCCTGCCTAGCTTGGACCCTTACACACATCCCAGCTGGTCACCACTTTACCTCAACATAAACTCTCTGATTCTCATTCTCCAAATCCCTCCCAACTTTTGTCATTCCTTCCTCTGTTTCTTTGTCCATGTTGTCGTTCCTACTTGGAAAACATTTCCTTCTCTCCACCTCAAAGATCCTTTCTAGTTCTCTAGGCCCCAGTCTCATCTTCCCCCCTTTTGAAAATCACATTCAGCCTCTCTCTCTTCTTCCCTGGCTTCCTATTACATCATGGTGATACCAAATATTACATGACTGGAATCATAGCAATCGCCATGTACTTTTGTGGCTGTCTGGGAATCGTGGGTTCTGTGAGTACAAGAGCCATGTCTAATTCACCTGTAGTTTCTGCTTTTTCTAACTCCCCACCCAACCCAGAACCTGTCCCTTATTGACACTTGATAATGTTTGTCGAATAATTGTTCCAGTGTGAGTTGGGTTTAACTCCTCAACTAAACTTTATGCTCCTTGAAGCCAAGGATCTTATCATTCTGCCCCTCCCTTACTGCCCCACTTCTTGACAGTGTCTAGCACAGTGTTGGTGTGGGGTGGGTGCTCAGTAATATTCAATAATGAGCGCTCAGGATGAGTGCTCCTAGTGAGGGGAATGGACAAAGATTAAGACATGGATGGGAAGAGAATCTACTGTTTTTCTGCAGCTCCCTTTTGAGAAGAACTGTGGTCAAGATCACCTCTGTGAAGGGGACCTGAGTATCAATCTCAGCTTCTCAGGGTGAGCTCTATCTCCTCTCATTTCTAGACACTTAAGCTTTTGGGTCTCCCATCCCCATGAGATGAGAGATGCTTATGTTTCCCTTTGGCTCTCCTTCTAACAAAGACATTAAATTTTGAATAGAACGTTATCAGTTCATGAGTTCCCACAGTCTTGCCCCTACCGTTGATCCAATTCCAACCGATTTCCAGCAGAGTCTCTTTTTCAGTTTTGTCCTTCCTCCTCCAGCCTGCAGACCCTGGTGGTAGGGAGCTCCCTGGAGCTTAATGTGACAGTGACTCTGTGGAATGAGGGTGAGGATTCCTATGGTACTGTCGTCCACTTCTACTACCCAGCAGGGCTGTCCTACCGACGAGTGCTGGGAACCCAGGTAAATAGCTCCCTTGTTTTCTAATGGCCTCTTCCCTGCCCTGGGTTATAGTAGGTTCTTTTTAATGCTCCTATGATGGCATGTAAACACACATACACACAATTCTGAAGGGGAGAGAGAGAGAGAGAGAGGTGCATAAAGCAGATGTATAGTTTAACGAATAATATTAAACAAATAACATATAGCATCCAGGTCAAGAACTAATACACTGCTAGCACCCCCAGAAGTTCTCCCTCCATGTTCATTTCCTCATCAAAACCTCACTCTCTCCCCAACATAACCAGTATTCTGACTTTGTGATAATCAGTTCCTTGTATATTTTATGGTTTTATCACCCATGAGCACATCCTTAGAAAAAACTGTTGAGTTTTGTCAATATTTGAAATTTATAGAAACATGTTATATGTTCTTTTATATATTTATTCATTTCTTCAGCATATGTTTGTGAAATTCATCCGTGCTGTTGCTTCTGGGTGTAGAACATTTTTATTGTATATAAAATCACCTTGTATGACCATGCCACAATTCATTTACCCATTCCACATTAAAAAAATGTTTTTGTTTAATTTCCAAGTAGTTAACATATAGTGTAATATTGGTTTCAGGAGGTAATTCATCCCTTACTTATAACACCCAGTGCTCATCATCACCCATTTAGCCCATCCTCTGTCCACCTCCCCTCCAGGAACACTCGGTGTGTTCTCTATAGTTGAGTCTCTTATGGTTTGCCTCCCTCTCTTTTTTTCCCTTCCCCTATGTTCATCTGTTTTGTTTCTTAATTCCACAGGTGAGTGAAATCATATGGCATTTATCATTGACTGACTTATTTCACTTAGCATAACACCTTCTAGTTCCATCCATGCCATTGCAAATGGCAAGATTTCATTATTTTTGATGGTGGAGTAATATTCCATTGTATATG